GAATTTCAAACATTTCACCTCCTTCAATCCTTCATTCACTTAATGTTTAATGAGCCCTATTATGTGCCAGACACTGTTTGGGGAGTGAACCAGGCAAGACGCAGTCACTTTTAACATGGAACAACCAGTCCAGTGGAGGAGACAGAAAATACACAAGTAACTGACTAATAAAAGATGATGACTTCACACGGAGGTATGGGGAGAGAACATTAAATAAACAGCGCTATGTGGAAGAACGCAAGAGGGGGGTGAAGGCTTCTCTTGGAGGTGAAATTTGGGCTGAGTCCTAAAAGCGCCCTGAAAAAAAAGTGTGGGGAGAACATTCCAGGTGGAGGGGAGAGCAGGTGCCACAGCTCCTGCCTGAAGACAAGCTGCACAAAGGTGTACAGCTGAGAAAGAGAGGAGGAAGCCTGGGGCAGCTCGGGCAGGGTAGGGAGAAGAATGTCAGGCCAGATTTGCAGGGAGACACTTGGCCTTCTTTCTACCAACCTCTAACCAAAACCCAGCACTGCCTGCCATCATGAATGTCAACAAGGGCCCACACAATGCTAGCAGTGCCTGGGGCTCAAATGACACTCCTGTTAGAGTTGTGGCAGATATATGAAAGTATCACTTATGCTCATCCCAAATTCTAAATTACAATAGCTATTAGACTAGCTATTAGATCTTGTTATTTAAAGTATTAACAAAGAAGCACATGCATTTCTATATTAAACATTTTAAAAGTATTTAATAACTGCATTTGAAAAGAACTGGTTTCCTTGGTAACCCCCTGTGGTCCCTTTCATATGTAAAAGCCTTGTTCTGAGAAGGGGTCCATGGACTTCACCCACAGCCAAAGTGCTTGCTACCCACAGAAAAGAGTTGGAGGTTTACCCCAAGTAGGATAGGTTTTGGCAGGAGAATGATTCACAGGGCGGTTTTCAGTTTTTCAAAATCACCCCATTGCTGGGCAGAGCAGCCCGTGCTTCCCAGGGCAGCGCCAAGGCAGGCCAGGTCATGGCTTCAATGGAGGGGCCAGCGTCCCAGGGTCTGCGTGGGCTCTGTCCTTCCCTCTGATCCTGAGCCTTCCCACTGCACCACCCTACTATCCTCTGGCCCCGAGGGGCCCTGGAGTCTCGGCACAAGGCTTGCCCTGGGACATCCAGCCAAATGGCTGCAGAGCCAGTGTGTGTGTCCACAAGAAAACAAATGCGGCGTCTGCCACTGTTTGGTTTGTGTATTGGTCTAGAGGAGAAATGAGATTTTGATTTAAGAAGGCTTCCAGCAGGACCCCAGCAGAGGCTGTACAAACACCACTGCAACTGCCCGCAAATAGGCGGCAAGCCCAAGCCCCGGCCCAGCCCACAGTCTGCAGCCCCCGGTCTGTGTCAGCCTCCTGTTTTCCTGGGCTTCTCTTCACACTGCACACACACACACACACACACACACACACATACACACACACACACTTCTTTCAAAACTCTTCAGAAAACAAAAGCATCACTCCCGTCTGGCAGTACACCATTCTCACACCTGCCTGGGGTCCTGGGCCCTGCCAAGAGCCCCGTCTAAGGGCCTAGAATGGGGCTGGGGCCAAAGAGTGAAGCCCATGCACAGAGAGAAGCTCAGAGCCAAATCCTGTATTCCCAGGTGCCCTTCCAGCAAGGAGGGTATGAGAAGGTGAGGGCCACTTGGGTGCTCCTGGGGCAATGCCTGGGAAGCCCCTGGGGAGGAGGGAGGAGGGAGCAGGGAGGGTACCTGAGCATGTGGTGGCAGTGCAGGCTGGGCAGGGCACAGCCTGTGAGGCTCCTTCACCTCAAGGCAGAAGAGCAGTGTCTCAGGAGGCAAGTGGAGGGGAAGCAGAGCCAGGTCCTCGAATCTGGAACTAGGCTGCCTAGTGATAGACTGTCTGTGTCCTCCCCAAAACTGAGGTGGTGACGGTGTGGGGAGGCAGCTCAGTCCCCAGGGTGGAGCCCTCTGGACTGGGATTAGTGCCCTGGTAAGAAGAGCCCTGAAGGAGCTGCTTCCTCTCGTTTGATGACACAAGGATACTAGGATGCTGTCTGCAGGCCAGGAAGCAGCCTTGATCTTGGATTGCCGGCCTTCGGAACTAGGGAGTAAACACCTGTGTCAAAGCCTGCCGGCCAGTATGACTGGTTACCGCAGCCAGAGCTCAGACAGAGATTGAGAAGAAAGTCTGGAGGTGCGCATCCTGCTGCTGGTACGAGGTGAAATGACAGCTCTGGAGTGGCCCCTGCGCTCAGCTGCCCCTTCCAGGGCCTCTGGCTGCAGAAAACTGGCCGGGTCTTTTTGGTGGGCGGGGGGTCGTTTTGAGTTTCTCTGATTCCCAGGCAGGGACATAGGGAGTAAGAAAGAAAACCCAAGAAGCTCAAAGTCCCCAGCCAGTCTGCCTTCTTTCCACCTAGGAGTCTTCTTATGTTCTGTTTTACACACAATGTCCAGGGTTTCAAGTGCCCTTAGCAAGAGGGTAGGGAACAATGTATCCACTTCCTCTTATCTAGAACGGAAGCCCTTTAGTTCATATTTTTGTTTTATATTTATTATTATTAGTAGTAGTTGTAGATGGACACAATATCTTCATTTTATTTATTTATTTTTATGTGGTGCTGAGGACAAATCCAGTGCCTCATCCTTGCTAGGCAAGTGCTCTACCGCTGAGCCAAACCCCCAGCCCTTGTTTTATATTTTTAAGACACACGTGAAATAAATATAGTAGATATTTATTAAATCTTAATATATTAAGATTTCTTTAATCTGGATGTACTTTCCCATCCGAAGCCCTTCCTGAGCCGAGTTCACTCACTCCTCCTCTTCTCTCCTTCACTCGTTCGTCCAGCTGACGTCTCTCACACCCCTTCTGTAAGCCAAGTGCCAACCACACGGCCATGAACTTCAAAGATCCAGCTCCTTCCTGAAGAGCCACTCACACTGTGGGACAGACAGATGTGAGACAGCAGCCCGGGGAGGTGGTCTAGCAGAGCAGCCTGGAGGCTCCGGGCGGCTCTGACCACGGCTAGTTTGCATTCAGGGCCAGGGGGACTTCTCTGAGGAAGTGGCCTTCAGAGCCTGTTATGCCCTCGTGACAGCTACCCGCAGACACCACCCAGGCAAATGACTTCCAAGGGTGGACTTGGCAGGCCAGGCCCCTCCCAGGTGGGCTTGGCCTGGCCCCGTCGCCCTGCCTCTCTGTAATCCCCACCGTGGGGAGCCTTTCTCCATGGTAAGCTCTCTCCTCTGGCTCAACACAGGGTCCTAAGGAGGAATGTAAGATGCCCCCGGGGCCCACAGTGAATGGGGAGTGAAGGGACATCCTTCCATCAGAAGAAAGCTAGGTTCTGCCTCCAGAAGAGGCACCTGGCAGCCAGCAGGCTCACCCAGGAGGAAGGTGACCAAAAAGACTCAGACCACCCACAGGAGGGCCTTTCTGCCCTCAGGGGTGTGTGGTGACCATGGCAGCTGAGGTCCCCACCCCAGCCCAGTCTGAGGTCCCCACCTCTGGGCCCAGTCTCTCCAGGCCTAAATCAGAGTGATAAAGAATGAAATGATCTCTAGAGGGATAATGGCGGGTCACCAGAGGCGCTGTCCCCATGACTCTCTGGAGGCCACTCGTGAGTCCTGGGTAGTCCTGGATGGTAGTCTACCTGGCCACTCGTGAGTCCTACCCTGAGCTCTGCCAGCCCCAGGAGAGCAGCCCCTCCTCTCTCCCCCTGGGCCCGTTGATTCTCAAGTGTGAACATGGGTGTTCGAGGCCACAACTCAAAAGGGACCAAGCAGGGCAGCATCTGCTGGGAACTGCAGAAAGAACACTGGAGAACTGAGAAGAGCAAGTCACGGTCTCATCTGGTCCCCTCTACTGTGTTCACAGTCATTATGTCACCTACAGCTAGGGAGACAAAGCCCAATGGACTAATAACCTGTCACGGGACCAGGAGAGAGGGCGGGATTGAGCCCAAGTCTGCTGGATCCAGAGCTGCAATTCCTTAGGCCAGCTCCACTCTTGGCTCCAAGGACCACGGAGATTCTGACCTCACGGAGGGGTTAAGGACGGCAGGTGCGACGCGGGGAGCTCCCCATCCTGCAGTACCTACCTTGCTTCCCCACTCACATCTGCCTTTGTGGGTGCAGCCGGCATCTTTTCGTCTCATAAATGCCAATCAAGTGAGCCCCTCCCCTACACTAGACACTGTAGGCTATCCAGTCCTGGGTGGGCCTGAGTATTGTAAAACATGTGTACATGTATGTGACCTCTGACAGTCACAGGCAGTTGAGGGGCCTTCCTGTAGCAAGGGAGGTGCCCACCCCAGGGCACATGGGGAGGAGGGCTAGGTTCTGACCAGAACAAAGGACCAGCC